CTAGTGGTAAAAGCTGCATGCCAACCCCAAACCACATGGTTTGAATCCACTAGCTGCTATGCAGGAGAAAGGGGGGCAGTCAACTCCTGTGTAATTTACAGCCTCAGAAAACGTGCTGGAGCATCAGCCATGAGTAGGTTCCAACTTAATAGCATATTAATACCAACTATCCTAATGCTGTTGACTCAGACCATGCAGTGGCGTGAAGAAAGAAGAAATGTGGGGCAATCTGCTTCTGTAAACACCACAGCCAAGAAAACCTTCCAGGAAAGGGTTACTGTGCAATTCATGGGCCCCTGTGGGTTGGAATTGATTTTTTTTTAATTAGTCTCTTTTTATTCTTTTGGTAATGGAATTGATTTTTTTAGAACAGTCTTATTTCTGGTTTTAATTAATTTTGCATCTATGATATCAATTTGGGGAGTTCTTGGGCTTAGTGGTAAGGGCTTATTGACACAGGATCTGGTGCAACGGGTTCTATGAGTTGTACTCGACAGTTGCCAACCGAAAGGCATGTGACTTGAATCCCACCAGCCGCTCCGTGGGAAAAAGATGAGCTGTCTTTCCCTGGCAATTTACTGCCTCTCAAAACCTGTGGTAGGGTTAAGCCTGAGTTGTGCCTTTATGGTACACAACAATAGTAACTTCTTCAACTGTCTATCAACATTTTGAGATTTTTTTGCTCTTATGATTGTTGTTATTAGGTGTTACTAAGTCGAGTTCAGCTCATAGAGATCCTGTGAACAACAGGTCTGCACCCTGTCCTATCCTGGGCCATCCTCACCATCTCTGACACTCTCGAGTCCATTGCAGCAGTTACTGTGTCAATCGGCTCCTTGAGGGGCTTCCTCTCTTTTGCTGACCATCTATCTACCTTTCCAAGCATGATGTCCTCTCCAAATAGCCTTTTTAGCAGCTTGTCCAAAATATGTGAGAGGAAGCTTCACCATCTTTGCCTTCAAGGAGCATTTTGGATGCACTTTCTCCAAGACATATCTGTTTGTTCTTTTGACAGTCCATGGCTATTCAATACTCTTCACTACCACCACAATTCAAAGGCATCAATTCTTCTACTGTCATCCTTATTCATTGTCCACTTCTATGATGCATTAAAAGACCATGTGATTGAAACTACCATGGCTTGAATCTTAGTCTTTGCACCTTAGTCTTTACACTGAAACCATTGCTCTTTAGGACTTTGGAGATGTCCCTGACCGCCACCATCTCCTGATCTCCTGCCTGCTGGTCCCAAGGCTCTATGTATTACAGTAATGGAGTCCTTGTGGTCTAGTGGTAATCTTTCAGATACCAACTGAAAGGTTATCAAATCCTTAGTTGCTCTGAGAAAGAAATATGAGTGGTTTCTTCCTATAGAGGTTTATAGCCTCTAAAACCCAGTGGAGGATTGCTGTGAGTTAAGAACTAACTTAGTGACAGTAGATTTTCTTTTTCATGAATTACAATAGAACTTTCACATTTAATTTCAAAAAGGGTTGAGTAAATAATGCTGAGAAATGGAAATGGGATTCATGATAAATTTTCCTGGAATCACTGGATTATTTTGGTTTTCCTGGCATGAGGAAACTATGCCCAGATAAACATATAGAAAATATTCCCAAGTATTTTGTACACATAGCCACAATTTTAGTTTTGTATATTTACTTTGGTTTTTGGTGGGTTTTTGTTTTCTTTGGTTTTGGTGAGGAAAACTTGCGTTTAGAATTAGTCAGCTGGACTCAGTTTAGATGACCCCAATTTTTTTTGCAACATCCAAAGCATCATAGGAGCAAGTCGAACACAGGTCTTCTTTATGAGGCCTAATCATGGTGTTGCCCTTGACCACATCAATGTCATAGAGCTTCTTTACAGCTTGTTTGATCTGGTGCTTGTTGGCCTTGACATCCACAATGAACACCAGAGTGTTGTTATCTTCTTCATGGTTGACTCAGTGGTCAGGGGAAACTTGATGATGGCATAGTGGTCAAGCTTGTTTCTCGTGGGGGCGCTCTTCTGGGGGTATTGGGCTGCCTTCAGAGTCTCATTATCTTAGGCTGCCAGAAGGTTGGTGACATGCAGATCTTCTTTTTTGTGCCTGTGGATGCCCTTCAGGACGACTTCTTGGCCTGTAATGCATTTACTTTGGCTTCAGTTTTGGGAGGGACAGGGACTCCCTTCTTGGCTTTTGGCACCATCTTTGTAGAAGATGGTTGGTTTGTTTCATTCTTTGGCATACAATGTCTATTGTATATAGTATATATGTATATGTATGTGTGTGTGTACACACACACACACATACACACACACACACAGCTGTTGTTGTATACTGTTGAGTCAGAGATGACCCATAGCTGACCCTCTGATGGGATTTCAGAGGCAGTTAATAGCACAGGAGGAGATTGTCCATCCTTCTCCTGCAGAGAATATATGTTGTTGTTAAGTGCCATCGAGTCGCAGGCAACTCATAGCGACCCTATGAAGGAGAGTCCTCAACACTTGGGTGCCTTTCATCCTCTCTCCAGGTTCATAGTGTTTATGGAGGCAAGCTATTACGGAAGTGGATGCCACTCCTCCTTCCAAGAGAGAATATATAGACTATAGTATTTGAGCATAGGTTCACTACGAGTCATAGGTGACTCCATGGCACATAACAACAACAACAACAGCGACATATTCTATATACTCTATAAAGCTTAGTTATAACTACAGGATTCAGAGGTATGTAACCTGTGAATGGATTTTTAATTTTCCAGCTAAGGCCCTTGCTGTGTCTGTTTTCGAGAACAGTGAAGTTTGGCATCTCCTTAATTAAGCTCGCTGCTGTCCAGTGGGTCCAGCTCACAGGAACTCCCGTTGGGTTTCTAAGGCTGTAAATTGCATCGGGAGGAGATGGCCCATCTTTCTCAGTGGAACTGCTGGTGGGTTTGAAGTGCTGGAGAATGAAGGCACAGCTCCCTGTGGGCTTCACCGCCAGATCCCCCCACCTCCTTTCTCACTTTTCATCTTTAGAAATTCATCTTCAGCTCTGCTTCTTTTTCCTTACTCGGTTACAAGTTACCTCCATCACATACAGCCACCACCACTGTCTGTTCCCCTGTTATTCCACCACCAGTAACAGAAACTTAAGAGCTCCCCAAGCTGACTCCCTTCCTCTCATCTTTCTCACTAAACTCATCGCTGTAGAGTCTGTAGCCAGCTTGGACATGTTGCCAGAGGGACCAATTCTTGGAGAAGGACATCCTGCTTGGAAAGGTAGAGCATAAGTGCAGGAAAGGAAGACCTTGTATGTGATGGATTGACGCAGTGACTGTGGGAATGGGGTCAGGTGTATCAGAGACAGGTTGGCTCAGGATAGGACAAGACAGAGCGGCTGTTCAAAGGGTTGTGGACTTGACCGGCAGGTAAGAACAACAACATAGCTGACCCTTCAGCAAGTTTTCCCCAGGCTGTAAATTCCAGGGGAGATTGCCCCTCCGTCTCCTGCACAGTGAGAGGTGGATTAAATGCCAGAGAGGTACAACTTCCGGAGAGCAGCACCACTCCCTATTGGCTAAGCTACCAGAGCTCCCTCCTCTCAACGCTCATGGCCACTACTATACTATGATCTCTAAGCATTTGCCTCTTTCACATAAGAGGAATCATACACTTTGCCCTTTTGTAAATGACTATGTTGTTTAGCATAATGGTTTCAAACGAAACTTCTCTTTTCATTTGTATCATTCTGCCTTCCAGGACATCTAATTAGGCTCTATCTCTTTAAAATTAGTTCCCTTTGAAACATTTTTGTCCCTTTATCCTCCTTCAGGAAATCACACGTTTACTATACACTTTGGATTTCATGAGTTCTTATACAGTATTAAGAAGTATCAGTGTCAATGCATTAAACACACACACACACCCACACACACCCACACACACACCCATTACTTCTTTATCCCATATAAGGCTGGTGTATAACTTGCATGTCAGGTTGTGTTTGGGTGACCAGGGAGGAAGTGGCTACGGACACCATTTGTGTCAAATGGAGGGAGCTGAACTGATCTTGCTCCAGCTTGGGTTTCTCAGGCCAGTAGAAAATGTAAGATCCATTCCAACAGGTCTCTGTTTCTCAGAGCTGACGTTGGCTGCAGTCTCGAGTCCTTTGACCTCTGAGCCGCGATGCCTCCCTGCTTTCTTGGGGGAATCTTCCAGCACCGCTTTTCTGGACCCAAGTCTGCAGGGATCGGGGCCGGAGTGGTCCCCAAGTCCTCCTAACGCACCTGCCTGAGGACAACCACGCGCTTCCTCCCTTCTCGTGGAGCCTGAAATGCATCACCCTCCATCAGATCACCCCACTTTACTGAGCTCTAGTCTCTCCTTAAAAATAGATCTGTGCCTCCTGGCCGGTGGGTCTCGGAGAAAGGCCGCCGGGCACAGTGCCTGCAAATCGCTGGCATTCCGCAGCCTCCAGGCGCTTTAAAGCGCGCTCCGGAGTTCCTGGAGGCCTGCGGGGTTTGCTCTTTCCGGATGCGGTGGGTTTCGCCTTCCTCTGCAAAGGCCACATCGGAAAACCTCGACGGCTGCAGAAGTCAGCCCCTTCGTCACCGGAGGGCGCCGCCGCCGCGCCTCGGGCTGCGCATGCGGAAACCGGGGGCCCCGGCCTCCGCGGCGGTTTGGAGATCTCTGACAGCTCCACGACCGGCGCACGCAGCCTCGTCTCGTGCTTCCACGTTACCCTATCAGAGACGGGGCGGGGCGGCGGCCCCCGCAGCCTATCAGCGCGAACCACGACCCCGGCGCGCCCAGTAGGAGAGCGCCCTGGAAGGAGATGATTGGGCGGCGGCGCCGAGGGGCGTGGCTCACCCGGGTCCTGCCCGCCGCCGCCTCGCTCTCTGCTCCGCGCCCGCGGTCGCAGAGGCCTGAGAGCGAGACCGAACCGCGGGCGGGCGCTGCTGCAGCCTGAGCGCCGGCGGGAGCGCGTCGGCCCCGCACACTCGTCTTCCCCTTGTCGCGCCTCCTCGGACATGGTGGCCCCCGGCTCCGTGACCAGCCGGCTGGGCTCGGTGTTCCCCTTCCTGCTTGTCCTGGTGGACTTGCAGTACGAAGGTGAGTCCTCCCGCTGCCCCCGGGCGGGGAGCGAGCTCCCGGGCCCTCGGGTGCTCCCTGCCCGCGCTGGCGCGCGTCTCGGGCGGCCCGGGCTCCCAGGGAGGCGGCGGCTCCGGCCGGGCCTGGGCTGGCTCTGGGCGGGGACCGGCGCCTGGTTCCGGGTTCGCCGAGGGGAGCTGGGGCCGGGGCGGCGCTCGGGGTGCCGAGCGGGAGCCAGGGGTCTCGGGGGCGACGTGCGGGGACACGGGCTCGGCGCCCGGCCCCCCGCGCGGGGACCTGCGCCCGGCTCCTGTGCACGCCGGTCAGCGGTGTTGGCTGGAGCCTGGCGAGGTGGCCAAAAGGGGAGGCGTCTTCTGCTTTGGAGTTCCTGGGGTGTACATCCGGCTGGAAGAGGTGTGGGGCATAGATCGCCAGCAGCTGGACTTCCACAACCGTGAGAAGTTAGCTTGGCACCGTAAAGGGGAGGTGGTATTGGATTGCACAGTCCCAGAGGGCTGGACTCCGAAGTTTGCCAATTTTTCAACTTCCCACCCTGTGTCCTCCAACTTCGGCCGACTTTGCTTTTGAGTTGAGTTCTCTGAGATAAGATCCCCTTACCAGGCTCTGAATCTGCCTTTCCCTGGAGTTCTCTGCAGATTGACATATTGTCTGCTCTAGCAGATTAGGAAAAACTCTGCTGGCCTGTCTCAGTGGACAGCAGGTACTGTACAAATGAAAGCCAGAAGTGCTGTTTTAATGCACCTAGCTTGGATACTGTGTGAAATACTAGAATCAAATGGTATAAAATAGTAATCTCTTCATGCCCTCTAACCCCATGTGAAGGGCTAGGTTCATGGAGAGGGACATCATGCTTGGGAAGGTGGAAGGACAGCAAAAGGGAGGAAGACCCTCCACCAGGCGGATTGACAATGGGGACTGCAGCAGCAGGCTCGAGGGTGCCAGAGCGGGTGAGGCAGGCACAGGATAGAACAGGGTTCAGGTCTGTTCATAGGGTCACTGGGAGCTGTACTGGTCAGAACCGGCCCTTAAAACAGCTGAGGGGGTTAAATATTTTAATATGACACTCAGTGAGGAACAGAAGTTGGGAATTGTTTATGGGAACACATCCAAATTTTAAATATCCTCGTATTTTTCTTTTTCTTAAGTAACATGGTTAAATTCTTAGGGCCCTTTCGTGGCAATGACATTTTGTTGTTTCCCTGGTGACTGGGTGTGTTTGACAACAGTGAAACAATTTGCAGACTGACCTAGAAACTTAGAGAACCGGAATTTTAATATTTATACCATTTTAAATTAGATCATATATTCTAGATTTCTTGTACTTTTGAATTTATGTCCAAAACAAAACCGAATAAACAGACTCACCCTCCACATGGAGCTTTCTACTCACTCGCTCATACTGAAAAGAAATTTTTTATTTTAGCCTGGTTTACTAACAAAGTTTGTATACATTGTTTTTCACACTGGATCTTTCCTATTCTCTTGATCCATCCCTTCCTCTACCCATTAGATTGTGCGACCCTATAATTACCCCTCTCCCCCCAATCTTCACACCTCTGCTCTCCCCTTCTCCCCTTGGAGCCTTGTACACGGTTTACTAGTTTAGTTATCTTTCTATTGCTAAAGGTCTTAACACAGTATTCATCCTAATGGTACTGAGTTCACTTAGCAAAATGCTCTCCAGTCCCTCCCAAGTTAGGTAGTGGTTTACAAAATCATTGCTCCTGCATGCTGCGTAGTATTCCATCATGTGACTGTAACATAATTTCTCAATCCATTTGCTTGTGGTTGAACATTTGGGCTGTTTCCATGTTCTTGCGTTGGTGAATAATGCTGTTATGAACATAATCTCTGTTTGGTGTATAATCTCTGTTTGGTGTATAATCTCTGTGCTTCAGTTCTAATTTTCTTAGGGCAAATTCCAAACAGTAGAATAGCTGGGTCATATGGAATTTCTATGTTCAGCTTTTTAAGGAAGGGCCATACTGCCTTCCAGCGTGGTTGTGCCATTTTACCATCCTACCAATAGTGCTTATACTCCTCCTTAGGGGCTGTGACTCACACAGGAGGAGGTTATGCATTGTTCTTTATGGGAGTCTCTGCCAGAGAGGCTCAGCCTTTGGGTTGGCAGTACAGTCACTTTGGACTGTGATACCAGAGCTGTCCTACCAAGCCTGTGCTGCTGTGGCGTGCTGTGGAGTTGGATGGACCCATAGCTCACCCTCCAGCTTGTTTTCAGAGGCAGTAAAATGCATGGGAGGAATTTGTTCGTCCTTCTCCTGCTGAACAACCAGTGGATTTGAACGATGAAACTTTGGAATTGTAGCACAGCTTCTTAGCGCTAGGCCACCAGAGTTCCCTTTGAGCCTGTCAGACAGTAGAATTGCCCCTTGTGGTTTCAAAGCTGTAAGCCTTTGTGGAAGCTGGTCTACCTCCCAGAGTGACTGGTTGGGTACTGACCTTTTGGGCCGCAACTGAGCACTTTAATCACTGCGCCACCTGGGGCTTCATTTATGTCCTGTTGCCATTAATAATACTTATTTTTACCACGTAAGAGAAAGTTGTCCCGTTGCCATTAATGGTACTTCTTTTTGCCACTTAAGAGAAAGTTGTCTGTTCATTTTAATGCCAGTTATTGTTTTTGTTGTGTGTTTTTTTTCAAGACACATGCATATGTTTGTATGATTTCATTTCCTATTAGTTTGTGAACCATCTGTTTTAGACTCCTTCTCTGTATAGAATTCTTTAAGATGCTTTTGCTTCATTTCTTTCTTGTGGTATTTTCCCCTTAAAATTGAAAAGTTCATCAGAGAGCTTTTCTGTAAAGGAAGCAGTGGTGACGTTTCTTAGGAGTGCCTGTGTGCTGTCTGCTTTCGGTCCAAGCCAGCTGCGTGGACCTCATATAGGCGACAGGGAAGGAAGATGATAAGCACCTTTTCTAAGGTGCGCAGTGTGACAGGCGCTCTGAGAGGCCCCTTTCTGTAAGCTCTCACTCATAGAGGTGGAACTGTCCCCTCCTTACGGGTGAGGGAGCTGAGATCCCATGGGTTTGATGAACTTGGTTGAGTCACCCCAGCTATTAACTTGGAGGACACTCAAGTTCTTTAGTTCTGAATTCCACCTTCTGTGTGGGCTGTCAGGGACCAAGGGTTTGTAGGTGTGGCAGCTGAGAAAAATCAGCATTGTTTGTCAGGCAGCTTCCTGGGGTGTTTGGCACAGTGGTCCTCAGACTTGAGTGCACATCGGTCCCACTTCTGAGTTATTTCTGAGTCAGTGTGTTTAGGGCATAGCCCAGAATTTTGCTTTTCAATACAGTTCCCAGAAGGCCACACTTTTTAGTGTCCCTGTTGTTGTTATGTGCTGTTGAGTCTAGTCTGACTCATAGTGACCCTATGAACAAAAGATCTGAACTCAGTTCTGTCCTGTGCCATCCTCACACTTCCTGACACACAAGAGCCTATTTCAGCAGTCACCATGTCAACCCAACTGGTTGAAGGTCTTCCTCTCCTTTGCCAACCCTCCACCCTTCCCAGCATCATGTCCCTTTCCAAGGAATAGCACCTCCTAGCAGCATATCCAAAGTATGTGAGGCAAAGCTTTGTCATTCTTGCCTCCAAAGAGCACTCCGGCTGCACCCTTCCCAAGACATACCTGTTCGTTCTCTTGACCGTCCATGCTCAATGCTCTTCTCCAACACCACAGCTCAAAGGTGTCAATTCTTTTTCTGGCATCCTTATTCATTGTCCATGTCTTGGATACCTAGTTAGTATTTGGAAAGACTATGGCCTGAATCAGATGCACCTTAGTCCTCAAACTGACATTACTGCTCCTCAATAATTTAGAGAGGTCCCTAACTGCAGATTTTCCCAGTGCAGTGTGTCTCTTTATTTCCTGACTGCTAGTACCAAGGGTGTAATTTGTGGATCCAACAAGATGAAGCTATTCACAATTTCATTCTCCTCTCCATTCATCATGACATGGCCTGTTGGTCCACTGGTAAGAATCTTTGTTTTCTTGATACTGAGATGCAATCCATACTGAAGGCTGCATTCCTTGATCTTCTCCAACATGTGTCACTTCTTGTAGTAATTTGTTGTGGTCAGCTGGCGTATGCAGGTGAGTGTGAGTCATGGTGACTTAAGTAAAACAGAATGAAGCGTCGCCTGGTTGTGTTGCCTCATCTTTAAATCTCTGGTCTGCTCGAGTCCCTGCTTTTGGCCATTTGTCTCCCTTGCCCTGATTGACGCTTCACTCAACAACCTAGGTATTGAACTCTCGTGGTTCCATGAAAGCAAGCGAGTGATTATGTTTTGGGGTCATCTGTAAGGCTTTCATAGAATAATTTTTAGAAGTAAGCCACCATGCTTTTCTATCTAGTCTGTCTGGCAGCTGTGTGGAAACCTGTCTGCTGTTGGTGGCCCTGCTGACGTGCTGGGGCAGTAGTTTCACCATCATGATAACACGGCACTACCTGTTGTTAAATTTGGTCTCTGCGGTGTCCTAAGTGTCTTCGGGTGATGGTAGTGGTGAATGTGCTCGGCTGCTAACCCAGAGGTTAGAGGTTCAGACCTAGCACTCTACTTCTGACAAATCAACCGGTGGACTGTGTATACACTGGAGCACGGTTTTACCCCGACGAAAGTGGAGTCACTTGGAATCAACTCAGGAGCAGCTGTTGTTAGGAATGTGTTTGTTGTTGTTGTGTACCCATTGAATCGGAAACAACTGATAGGTCACCCTCCAGCCAGTTTTCTGAGGCTGTAATTGCACAGGAGAAGATTACCCATCCTTCTGTGGAGCAGCTGACAGTTTCGAACTGCGTGCCTTTGGTATTGCAGCGCAGGTTCTCAGCACTAGGCCACCAGAGGTCCCCTTTTTTGTCGGTAGTAGGCACTGGATTTGGAATTAGAGACCGAGAGGACCTCGGTGACTTGAATCATCAAGCTCTTAGCTCCCATTGTTTACCCAAATAAATTGCCTGTGTTCTCTGATCTTACTGG